CTTAATCTGGCTGTCAATGTGGAGTAAATGGCTCTTATCCAGTTTATCCAGTTTGTGCCAAATCCCTTATGGTGGAGTGTTTTCAGCATTAGTGACCAGTCCACCTGGTTGAAAACTTTTTCGAACATTTCTTGGAATAGTAGATTTAATCCTCTTCTCTAGGAAATCCTGGATTTCCTGGGCTGGAGGTGGGCTGTCTTGTAGATTATAAAGTTGTGTATAGAAGTCCTGGAATGCTGCCAGGATGTCGGTCATCAGGTGGGTCTGTGTACCATTGTGAAGTTTGATAGAGGGGATGAAGGTGGATTGTCTGATTTGCTGGAGAGATTGTGCTAACAGTCATCTGCATTTGCCTCTTTGTGTATAATATTTATGATTGGTCATTCGTAATTTGTGTATGGAGTGAAGGTGTAGTAACATTTTAAGTTCTGATCTCTTAGCCGTCAGTATTTTATAAAGGCTACGAGAATTGTCCCCAATGTGTTGGGCTTCTAAAGTCTTAATATCTTCTACCGGTCTGGTCACACAGGCTTTCCTCTCTCCTTTTTTAGGCTGATGTTATTTTTATTATTACCCCTCTGACCACACATTTGTGGGCTACCCAAACCACTGTAGGGGAAGTGTCCGGGAGCGGGTTTTCCCTTTAAAATATTGCGTGGCTGCCTTTTTTATCTGATTATCTCCTGGCTATTTAGCAAGAAGTCCTTTCATTTCCATTGGGGGGTCACATGGGGTAGAGAGGGAATATATATGGCAAGAGACAGGGGTGCCTAGTCCGACCATGTGATAGCTCCGTAGGAGCATTCCCGAATCAGATGTAGGTATCTATGTGGTAAAAAGAACACATCTATAGGGGAGTAGGTGCCTGTGGGCAGGGAGTAGAAAGAGTATTCTGTGGGGTGCATAGTCCTCCAGCTATCAAACAATTGTGCATCGTGTAAAATGGACTGCATTCGTTTGCGTGCTGAGTTGAGGTATCTGCTAGAGGTGGAGGAGGAATCCAGGTGACCGTCTAACGTGATGTTTAAGTCCCCTCCCATAACTGTTATGCCTTCTTGGAAGGTGTCTAGGATGTGTAGTATTTTCTCAAAATATTTGCATTGTTTTTTATTTGGTAGGTAAAGATTCGCTAGTGTGACTATTGTGTTACCCATTTTCCCTTTAAGGAATATGTATCTCCCTCCCTTGTCTATCTGTTTGTCGTGTAGTGTGAATGGTACATGTCTGCCTATCAGTATCGCTACCTCCCTAGATTTTGAGCCTGGGTAGTTATTGAAGTATCAGATAGGGAAGTGCCTGTTTCTTAGCGTTGGTGCTTAGTCCTTACGGAGGGGAGTCTCCTGGGCAAAAATTATCTCGGCTTTGAGGAGGTGAAAATCAGCGAGGGCCATATGTCTCTTTTCTGGCGTGTTAAGGCCTTGGGTGTTAAAAGAGACTATCCTAATTGATTGTTATGTGGCTTCTTCGTGTTCTGGGGTATGGCTGTGTGAACTTACTACTCCTATATTTGCGTTCAGGTGTACCTATGCTATGTGATACCTTGGCACAATCGTGTGAATCAGAATGTGTATGTAGTGTGTAAAAAACTATTGTCAATAAAGAACAAAGAACAAAATAACAGGTAATGTGACCCCTTTGTGCTTCGTATGGGTTGGAGCCCAAATAGTCCACCTTTTGCCTGTTCCGTGGATTCCTCTAACAAGACTCGAAGTCCCGAGAAAGATAAGATAGAGTCCAACGCTCTCTGTAGGTGTTCCCATGTGTAAGATTAATTAATGTCCCGATGCTTGACCCCTTTGTGTTGTGACAGGCCTTGGGTCGGTTCTTCTTTTTCTTGCTGGGGTGTTCCATCTCTGCCTCTGGGGGAGTCTTGAAATGTCGGGCGTCGGTTGTGGTGTGTAGCAATCCATCACTTGGGTGTCAGGCAAGTCCAAAGCTCTTAGGAAGGGTGCGATGTCTTGGTGCATAGTTGTGGATTGTCTGTTGCATTTGTGGGAGACAATTAATGCAAATGGGAATCCCCATCTATAATTAATTGGTCCTGAGGAGTTCTGTTGCCGGTTTAAGCGCTCTCCTGGCTTGAAGTGTGAGCCAGGACAGGTCTGGGTAAACTTGGACCGCATTTCCGTGGAAGAGTAATGGTGGAGTAGTGTCCCTTAGTGATTTTATGATTCGGTTTTTCACTGTGAAAGTGTAAACGACATATAATGTCTCTTGGTGCGTCTGCCGCCGAGTCCTTTGGCCTGAATTACCTGTGTACTCTATCAAATTCAATTGGTATATCACTGGCGTCCCCCAGGAGCTTGTTGAACTGTTCAGCTAGTAGAGCACATAGGTCTTCGTCTGGAGATTCTGGAAAGTCGCGTACCCGCAGATTGTGGCGGTGCTCCCGGTTATCAATGTTGTCTACTGATCGTTGGAGGGAAGTGAGTAGTTGCCCCTGTTTTTCCAAGGAGTTGGTTAATTGTAGCATTCTCTTCCTCCAGCTCGGTGACCTTGCGTCCCATGTGGCGGATGTCAGTGCTAAGGGTATCCAGTTTGGTTTGGAACGTTTTTTAGTTTGCCTAGCAAAGTCACTAGGTCTTCTGTAAAGGGTATTAATTTCAGTAGGTCTCTTAAATCGGGCTCTTGGGATGTGTATGAACCCTCGGATGGTGACAGGCTAGAAGGGGCCGAATCAGTATGCCTCATGGCTTCCGTCATTTTGCCATCCTTGCTGTCTCCATCAAGGATTCCCGTGTCTCTGAAGATCTTCATCATGGAGCCAGGATTTGCCCGCTGGGGTCTTCCCGAGGTGTTCTGGGAAGAGTTCTGTCTTTTGGGGTTCCCCATGTCGTGCTGTTTTCTCCGATTGAACTGGATTGCTTTCTGAGTGCTGCCATTCAGTTCCTCGGTCAGCCACGCCCCCCAACAAACAGTTTTTTAAAGATTACTTTGGGGTAGGGTATTTTTAGTTCACATATTAATTTAGAGAACATAAATACAGTTGCACAATTTTAATTTTAAATAATATCCTATCCATAATATATAATATATATTTTTTGTAGCAAACACATGTATAAGTTTCTGTGGAGCACACAGAATTTTCCATGACATATCAAATAAAAAAGTCTAAAAAGACTACAAAATAAGGCAATGTTTCAGTAAACCTTCAAAGCGTTTAAATTGTATGTTGCGGAGATTAATCTTCTCCAACTCAACCACAAGTGAGATGGTATCTACCAATCTTGTATGGCTTTCCACCAACTAAGAAGTGAATGATGGTGTGGTGGAGCCTCAAACATTCTCTGTAGACTCTTGGTCTAAAATATATTTATTATTCACAGCATTCAAACATAGTTAATTTTGTTTGTATAAACATCTAGTGGTTATTTATTAAAAGCAGATTTTATGTAAGGCTACTGAAGGTATGATTTTGGCAGAAGATGGACTCAAGAAGACATTTGTCTACATCAACATTTACTTCAGTGTGTAATTCTTATAGGTGTGTGGTCAGGACTAGAATTTTCTGCTCCTTTATTTGCTTTCAGTGCCATCTATTTTTACCATCATTATTAAAAAAAAAACCTTATTGAATATTTCAAGAGGTTTATTGTAGAAAATATGTTGAATGTTTTTCAACATAGATGACAGATTGTACTTTATATCACACTATAATATATAAAATCAATTAATTAAATAATTGCAAAAAAAAATCTGAGAATATTACATAACTCAAAAATCCATCAATCAAAATGAGATCTACTTTGCATGTAGATGTTGGTATTGAACTAGATGAAGTGATCAGTCTTCTTATTAAATTAATATTATCAGTTTTTACACTTTTCAAATTCAAAGAATTGTTTGCTGTTCTCAGTTTGACACTTGACTTAATTTATGATGTTGTCATGGTACCTGCGGTCCATGCTCCATCTAGGGGCCATCCTATTGTGCATCTTAGCATTTATATGATTCAGTCATTCTTTCTGACATAGACCTCTCCATTTTGGTCACATCTTAGGTGATGCTGTGTAGTATTTTGAAGTCTATGCACGGAGACTTAGTCAGGTGAAATCTGTTGCAGATATATTTGGCATTAAATATTTAAATATTTTTCTGGCCGATAACATCTCATTGTATATATTAGAGCATATATATCTTAGACCATATAAATCAGTCCCTAACGCTGCTGTGATTTTTAAATACTTGAGAGAACAGCTGGTATTGTTTGATTAACCTGTTAATCCTGACCTTGACTTGACTCGAGCTCTTGCTCTGTTCTGTAATCTTTTGACCTTGGCTAGTTATTGTACATTCTCTGTCTGCCTGCAGAATGATTAGCCTATCAATGCACTGTGTTCAGCCATTCTAAACGGTCTATTTTCCTTTGTCTTGTAGTCTGACTTCTCACCTAGATTTAGGTGTTAGGGTAATACATACCTTGACAGATGCCATGTGTAGAATATTGCTATAGTGTTATCTTGTCAATAACTCCTCTTTACATGACCTTATACAACTTAATATAAGAATTTTTTTCAAATCTTTATGTAAACTCATAAAGTTTGTCTCAGAATATGTGTTTCGTCCACCACAACAGAGAATGTTAAAGGTTATAAAACAGGGAAAGGAATTTGCATTTTGCAAGGATTAAAAGGAGTCTGAATGACGGCCGAAATCCAGAATGCAGGATATGATAATACACCTTCAATGTCATTTACACTGAATAGGTGTTTTAAGGTTCATGGCATATGTATAAAAAAGTCCAAAGATGCTTTAAAATTTAATTTTATGGCAGGACAGGAGGCTTCATATTTGCTTTACCTTCTTTACTGAAACCTCCAGCAGCAAAGAAACAGTTAACAGAACTTTTCAAAACAACCAATCAGAACAAAGCAACAGTAGTATAAAACCCCTAAGCAGGCTCTTCCACTTCCTCTTTCTTTGCTGCTGCCTCCAGGTGAGCACTCACCAACTCAGAGTTGTCTCTGCTCTTGGTTGTTGTTTTATCCTACATGCTGCTTGTTTATTTAAACAGTCTATTTAATCAGTCTATGTGTTAGGTTTGTTCAGGCAGCTTAATTGCTGGATTTATTTAGGCAGGGTTCTTGCTGGATTTAGCTAGGCAGTCTATGGCTGTGTTTAGCTAGGCAGTCTATTGCTGGATTTATCTAGGCAGTCTATTGCTGTGTTTATCTAGGCAGTCTATTGCTGTGTTTATCTAGGCAGTCTATTGCTGTGTTTAGCTAGGCAGTCTATTGCTGTGTTATTTCCTATACCACTTCATGCTATGTAGCTGCTGTATCACTTGTTAACATCTGTTGCTGTATTGAGGCCATTTATCTGACAGATTCTGTATACTGCTCATTGATTTATTGTTATTCTGGGTTACTTTATACTGTTTTCTCACTCTGCTGTATGGGGAATGGGTGCCCCTGCTATGATGCTTTGGCTCTGCCTGTAATCTGTTCCCCCTCCCCGGGTTCCCCTGCTGGGCTCTGTTGCCCATACCCTTCTCCCTTATTCCCCACCTGCTCCCCGTGGCCCCTGGCCGCTTGCAGTGCCGCACAATCACCACGCGGTAGGCCGCGCTCTGTTTTTGCAGCCACGGCAGCCATTTTGTTGGAGCCGTGGCGGCCATTTTTCAGAGCCACATGGGCTCTGTGCGTTGCGAACAGCCAGGTCTCACCCAAGAACTGGCCTGCTGGCCATGTGGCCACCCTCCCCTCTCCCTATATCAAGGGAGATAGCCAAGTTTTTCAGCTATCCCTCTACTTACTGTGCCTGTCTCACATGCTGCATATGTAACAGATCCTGGATAGCAGAATCTGTCCCAGGCATGCTCACAACTGCAGCTTACTATGTCTGATGCAATGTGACTAGGTTCTCTATCTTAGCAGTAGACTTGTCACACTTTTTTTTACTATTACATGTGAATCTCAGATTTAAAGGGACATGTTACTGCTCAAATAAAAATCTTTGTTTAACAAGAATGTGCCACATGTGTTATATGCTAATCAAGTCTTCCTCTAAGGTTCAGTCTTTTTCTCATAAAAATTAATGGCCTGTTTTTCAGCACCTAGCTCCCCTGCCTAGGATTTGCTGCCCTTCCTGCAAGGGACTTAAATTTTCCACTACACATACACTTCAAAAGTGTATCCTAATATAATACCTGAGTGGTCTGTGAGTCAGCTTCTCGCTATATGGACCCTCCTACCCCTCAGCGGGGCTACTGGCCTCACATTCAGACCTGTTATTACTGGGGGGTGAACCCCCCCATCCATATTTCTGGGGCTCTCCCTGCTACTGGACCATAATAATGGACGTGTGTCACCATTGTGGGCTGGGTGACCCCCTCCCTCTGGCAACATGGCTACCTATGAGTACCCTGCTAGCTCTACAGCGTCCTGTAAGATTAATGCTGAGGGTGACCCCCTCCTGCTTCCTATACTAATGCTCCGGCAATGTCCTGCTATTATCATACCGAGGGGGTACCCCTCCTGCAGTCTGCACTGCTGGACCTGCAGCGTCTGGGTATTCACATAAAAGAGGGTACCCCTCCCACTGATTGAGCTTCTGTTCTTACAGTGCCCTGCAATACGCAGATACTGAGGGTGACCCCCTCCTGTGGACTACTCTGCTGGACCTACAGGGTCCCGTTATAACCATAACGAGGGTGACCCCCCCTCGCTGACTACACTGCTGGGTGTACAGACCTCTATGATAACACACTGAGGGTGACCCCCTCTTACCTACAGCACTGCTGGATCTGCAATGCCCGGTTCTGGTTATATGAGGGTGACCCCCTCCTGCCGTCTACACTGCTGGACCGGCAATGTTTGGTTACTTTATTATACAGCTAACCACTTCGGCACTACTGTACCTGCAGTGTCCGATTATGTTCAGACTGAGGGTGACCCCCTCCCCTGCTGGCCTAAACTGCATGGTATGCTTGTGCTTGTTGGGTGACCCCCTCTTGCACGCTGGGTGACCCCCAGCTTGCCGCACCACTGTACCTACAGTGTCCGATTATGTTCAGACTGAGGGTGACCCCCTCCCCTGCTGGCCTAAACTGCATGGTATGCTTGTGCTTGTTGGGTGACCCCCTCTTGCACGCTGGGTAACCCCCAGCTGGCCGCACCACTGTACCTACAGTGTCCGATTATGTTCAGACTGAGGGTGACCCCCTCCCCTGCTGGCCTATACTGCATGGTATGCTTGTGCTTGTTGGGTGACCCCCTCTTGCACACTGGGTGACCCCCAGCTGGCCGCACCAGGTATCATTTGTGCAATCACGGCTGAAGGACAAATCTCCCGTACCCAGAAGGTCACTTGGCCTGTCCTCTTGCCGCTCCGCTGACCTCACTGCCAGAAACCATCGGTGCCCTACAGGGACACTCCACCGGCCATCCTAGACGCTACACCAAGCACCCCTGGTACTTGTTGGCTAACGGATGGATTCATCAAGAGGATCAGTCTTCATGACGGAGTCCGGAAAGGACACCGCAAACACCTGACACGGGGTTTGCACTCTATCTGGGACTAACCAGTGGATGTCGGTGACACGCGGACACAGATGTTTCCTTGGGACGAACGACACGTTACCGCTTGGAAAGCGGAGAAGACTAAATTCCCACTGGGAATGGACCGATATGACTTATAGGTATAGCCTAGTTGGTTTCTACCCGTGAGAACCGCAAAACAGCCCCTGTCCAAGCTGGACATCAAACTGATGGATTTAGCATCCAAGTGCTGGGTCTGCTCTCCGGAGTTACCCTCGTGTACAAATTGAGCCGACATGTCTCTATTCATAGGGTTCCCCCTTAACTAGCCCCAGAGGTCTCTCTGGCCGTGCCCGGACTCCAGATCAAGGTTGCGGAACCTTTGACCGTTCCATGAGCGATACGCATGACCAAAAGAGGCATCCATTCTGACTCATTCCGCAGTTGCCCTGCTGGGCAAAGGGTGCGGTGGAGTGGACTCCCGCCCCATCCCCACGCTACATGCTCCCAGTGCATGTCGTCTGTTGACACATTTTGAGACGGAGGGCACTCATCCCCTCTGAGAGCTGCTCGGCGTTGACGATTGGTTCTCTCCCTCAAATGCATATGAGAGAAACCCGCATGGATTTTGCCATCTACATGGACATATTGAATCGGACTCACTCCAAGTCAACCCAGTTTCCGGTCTTTCATGGAATATTCGGTCCAGGCGGTGCTCCGCCTCCCGAGGACCAAGATGTCCGTCTTCAAGGAAAATACCAGGTATATGCTTCGCAACCTGCGGGTTACACTTAGGGGCCCAACCCGGTTAATTGACCGGTGCCTATTCGCCATGGAAGCCATACCTCAAGGATCCGGTACTATCAGCCGCTCCAACATGGCGCTTTCTCGGGTCTTTGGCCTGGTATGACCAAATCATGTGACCTTCGGATGAAGCTCATTTAAGACTTAATTGATGACTCCGGAGGAGGGACTCCTTTACGCCAACTGCATGGAACTACCTGCAGGTTTGTTCAAAATTCACAGTATTGCTCGCTACCTTCCGGCATGGACTTCTCACCGGTTGCCCACTACGGACTGCAGTCGGATCTCACATAGGATCGCTATCTATAGCTTCTGGACAAGTATTCGTCATTTGTGACAGAATGTATGCGGGATGAGACACTCGTGTGGCGGACGGCTTCACCCGACCATGGAGAGACCCCAATGATTGGTTGCCTCACCCTCCAGGGTCTAGAGTACTGGCATGATTACATTCGGTGCGAACCGCCATATGGAGCGGTTCTCCAACTGGCTGCCGGACCCTCAGCGAGGCGAGGGACGAGTTTTCCAAGCTTGGTCTCCTTCGGGGCGTACGCATCCCGTTTACCTACAGGATACTCTGGGTTTTTGCTTCAGACCGAATTCCTGGAAGTGTCGTTTCGCCTGGCCAAACCACTTCGGAGGAGTCCTGCGTGCTTTCCCCTTTTTGCTCGAGTTT